TGCTTAGTTTTTCCTAGCCTTGACCAAGGCTATCAGCTTGTCCCCATAGGAGCTTGTTCCCGCTACCGCACACCGCGCGCACAGCAACACAATGTTGTACTATATACCGTTAGCCCCAACGACCCTTGCGTGTGCTTTGTGTGCATGTACGTACGCCCCACACTCACTGCCGCAAACAGCCGTACAGTAAATCGAGGCAGAAGATAGCCTTGACGCAAACGTGTATGCTTAATATGATAATTAGTACGCGCTATGGTAAATAGTCTTCTCTCATTGGATAACGGCTGACAAAAAAATGAATATTTATAAAATTGCATAATGCGACCAAAGGTTTATAAACCAGACGGCCTGTGGTAACAATAATTATTGTAAAACACCCCCTTAAAATCTTAAATAATAGTAGAATAATATTTATAAAGTTACACATAGTTTGGGTCGAAAATGAAATGAAAAGGATGAAAAATTAGACCTTCAAAAAACGGCAAACGGTACAAAACCGCACGCCGGCAAAAACGATGTCACCATGCACAGAAGCCACGTTGGGGCCGTCCACTGTAGGCACCGGCCCGGCTGGAACCATGCAGTGAGACACGCTGCGCTTTCACGTTCAGCGGCCAAAAAAGCGCTCACACTGTTGAGTATATCTACCGCTGACTTTTTTTGGGGGGGGGGGGTATTTCTTCTAAGCTGTCAAGGGGATATGGGAAAAAATATCTCTCCTTCAGCAAACTTATTCTGTAAGACTGTTTTTAACTTGTATGAACAACTTATAAGTTATATGTCGTATGTACGACTAATATATCGACAGGGTACGACTAATATCATTGACAGGGTACGACTAATATCATCGACAGGGTACGACATATATGTGGACAGGGTATGACATATCAAACATATGAAATAATGTCGCCAGGTGCCGGTACGACATATATGTCGTGCATAAGTCGAGTCGACAGGGTACGATATATGTCGCATACGACAAAGTCGTATATATAAGTACGACTTAATATCTCGTGTGTACAAAATATGAATTGTAACTCGTATGTTCGACTTGTTTGTCGATTATGTCGTACATACAACATATATACGACATACGATCCATACGTACGCATTAAAATACATGTGTCGTACATATGAGATGTATGTTGCACATGGTACGAATTCAGGGAGAGTTTTTTTCACCATGTACCTGACAGTTTCGTATATTTCCATCCCAAAGTCAATGCAGTTAATTCATACGGGTGCTTATACTAGATACGAGTTAACCTGCATTCGATTAAATGGGTACGATTTGACCTGGGTCCGAGTTGACCTTCTCCCTACATTCGCTGTCAGAATAGCACGGGCAGTTAGCGGCGTGATAATGTACGCTGTTGCACCGACAAAACGTCGGCGGACTGTCTTGAACTGTCCAATTCGCAATACATTGGAAATAATATCATTTTGAACAATTGTTCACTCATAATAGCGGCATATTTCATTTGTTTGTAATAAAACTGGAGAAATGATTTAAAATGGGATTGAAATACCTGGACATACCATGGTGAGTGAACATACATGTACGTGGTGTATACAGTAATTTGCGGGTCATGAATATGTAAGTCGCGGGTCAAAGTTTACGGGCTTTGATTGGATATCGTGTAATATATGCGCATCAGAAATTTTCGGCCGATTTCGGTCGAAACTATAAAGAAACACATAAGAATTCGCCACGGTTGCGTCAAGGCTATCTGCCGCCTCGACTTACTGTACGGCTGTTTGCGGAAGTGTGTGTGGGGCGTACGTACATGCACACAAAGCACACGCAAGGGTCGTTGAGGCAAACTAGTGAATGTGTCGCGGCGCGCGCGGTGTGCGGTATCGGGAACAAGCTCGTATGGGAACAAGCTGATAGCCTTGGTCAAGGCTAAGTTTTTCCTAATTTTAAAAGGAATACGAATAAGATTATCAACAGCCCTTTGACTTCAAACTTAATTTCAAAAATGTATTCCGAAATAATTATATTCTAGAGTAACATTTACAAAAATAATGTAGACCATGCAGTTTTATTTTTTAAATAAGCGAAGAATAAAATCGTACTACGAAAAAAAGACATCGGGAGCCCTACATTTAATGAATTATTTGGACTTGGAATATCATCCCCCAATCGTTTATCTATGTGCATGTACACAACACGGAGGTGAAATTTCACGTTCAATTCGGTTTCCCACATTTTTCGCATAAAGTTTTTCTCTGTCTCTGAGAAAAAAAATGCCCAAATAAAATCTCAGCTCCGAAAAGCCTTTCCAGAGAATGATTGATAGCCGCATTGTTCAAATTGATACAATGCCACTCTTGTTCGTTACAAAGCATATACATTTGGGTTCAGCTGTAGGCCACCGAACTCAGCTCCGAAAAGCCTTTCCAGAGAATGATTGATAGCCGCATTGTTCAAATTGATACAATGCCACTCTTGTTCGTTACAAAGCATATAATTTGGGTTCAGCGGTAGGCCAGCGAACTTTCAGGCTTTTGAGAACTTGCCGCCAGTAATTGGAAGATTCTTAGATGATAAACAGTAATGATAGTATCTCAGCCAAAGAAATGAGCCGGTTCCCGGCAAATAAATATGCCATTGGTTACTTTCATCACGGACCGTCTGCTTTCATGAATATGACTTCCTTCCACGCGCAACTGGAGTGATTAGCTATCTGAGCCACAGGTGCATGGCTGCATGCCCATCACATTCCAACCTGGTTGCTTAGAAATACTGTTGCTAGGAGGCTCCCCTGTGATGCCTGGGACTGCCGGTTGCGTAGCCAGAAATCTTGTATGTGACTATTTTGAAACCTTGTATGTGAAAGCGGCAGCTCAGGAATGCAACCTTTTAATATATGCAACCTTTTAATTAACGGAAATGCAAACTGCATCCAAATTCCAATTTCCAAAATATGAAAAACTTTGCCTGCACAAATGTCCCGAAAGCGGCAGCTCAGGAATGCTGCCGCTTTCGGGACATTTGTGCAGGCAAAGTTTTTCATATTTTGGAAATTGGAATTTGGATGCAGTTTGCATTTCCGTTAATTAAAAGGTTGTTTTTTTTTTTTCTTTTTAAGAAAATCGCAGCCCCCCCCCCCCCCAAATACAAATAAATGATTTTCCTCAGGCCTTGACATTTCTTGAAGTGATTCGACAACACTTGCAGAATGCAGACGATTCATTTCGTCTTAAATTATTTAGCCTGCAGACTTCAAAAGAACATGGGAAAAATGGTGGTTAAAGTGTATACAAGTGTATATACAAAGTAAGTATATATGTGACCGCAGTTACCACACATTATACTGGGACACAGGTGGCAGTCTTTTTGAAGTCTTGACTAAACGTTTAAACGCTACGGGAAAATATTGCTAATATCCTCAAATTTTTTATGACAATCGAGATGGTTTAAAATCGGTAAGTTTTATTTCTTCTTTTTGTTTGTAAAGACTATTCGTAATGTAATACTCAGCAGGCTTATAAGTTATACAACATTTTCAAAGGAATTGGGACAGAGACATTTTCTGGGCCGGTTGAGTTGCTCAGCCGTGGGGGAGGGGGCCTCGGGGAGACTCACCTGCTCAGCGGGGGGTGGGGGGCCTAACATGCCTTAGTGCTGTTTTTCCCACCAACTAAGCCGCTGTTTTTGATGATGGAAGCAAAAAAAAAACAATGACACGACAATAACATCAACCAAAATGGGGTGGGGTGGGGGTAGGGGCTGCTTGGGGCAGGCTGTCCCCTAATGAAATTCTTTTTTTTTTCTTGTTTGCAAGGCAAATTTCTGGGTAGAAATGTATGTTTTAATAGTATTAACATGACTTTTTTTGTTTACTAACGGAACTATACCAACATTTCAGATCATGTAAACAAGGCATGACAAATTAAATGGAGCAAGTTTCATCAGCTTTGTGCAAGAGGGTGAGATAAAAACGCCATACGAAACCAATACTCACTTTCAGAATGTCGATACAGCGCTGGAGACGGTGGCGGAAGGCGCGTGCTGCGGCCAAAAGCTTCCGAAGGAATGCAGGACTACCCCTGATGCAGAGTTGTTACGAGTCACTGATTTTTGTGACTCGAGTCCAGTCGAGTCATTTTAAAGAAGTGACTCGAGTCGAGTCCAGCTATTAGGTCAAGACGGTCGAGTCGAGTCGAGTCACAGTATGTAGTCGAGTCGAGTCGAGTCAAGTATTCAGCTCGAGTCAATTCGAGTCACAAATATTTGAGCACTATACAATAAATAAACACAAGAGAGAAAGTCATTTTTTGGCTTTTTAAATTTTACATTCGGGCTACTACATGTGGCGACACCACATTTGCTTCTTAATGAAAATAAGAAGGGGGTGCCAGCTGATCGTCATTCAACTAATGGGGATACAATTCAAACCACGTATGTATATGTATACCTTATTCGCGAACATTCTAACGTGACGTGAACAAAAACCGGCACCGTCGTAAGTCATTGCAAATATTTTTCGCAAAGTTTTGCTTTTATTTTTGGGACTCGAGTCTCATTAGCTTTCCTCGAGTCGAGTCGAGTCATTCTGATGAGGGTCTCGAGTCGAGTCGAGTCATTTGCTCGCAGTGACTTGAGTCGAGTCGAGTCATTTGCCCTTAGGGACTCGAGTCGAGTCAAGTCACCAAAAATTGTGACTCGAGTCGGACTCGAGTCGAGTCATTGACTCGAGTCATTACAACTCTGCCCTAATGTCATTGCACACCTCCTCGATCGTGTGTTGCGCCAAACGATCGAGGAGGTGTGCAATGACATCAGGGGATGATCCTGCATTCCTTCAGAAGCTTTCGGCCGCAGCTCGCGCCTTCCGCCACCGTCTCCAGCGCTGTATCGACATTGGAGGACGCCAGGTCGAAAGTGGCAGATTGTGAAATTGAGTATTTTTTTTTTCGTATGGCGTTTAAATCTGACCCTCTTGCACAAAGCTGATAAAATGTGTCATATGTAAACAAAGGTCATTGACGGGTTTTTTTGGCTTTCACATCTGATCTTTATTTTCCCTACCTGAGGACCTATGACACAGACTTGGGCAATAAGAAAGTGGTGTTTTCAAGAACAAATTGTTATAAATAGTGTACGAAGGGTCATTGACCTCTCAAAGGTCACCAGAGGTCAAATATGAAAAGTCTCTACATCTCACATTTTTCTTCATGGCATGAAGAACCAACGTGCGAAGTTTCATGCTTTAGTCACAAAGTACACAATCACATCACTCAACAGCCCCACTATTTGTTTTTGGAACATGGACACTGTCACAAGATCCCCCTCAACCAGGAGGACCCCGGAATGGTACTTTAGATTAAACTCTGATGGTAAAGACTCAACTCAGTCAAAATGAAAGAAGGACAGATCTGTATATAATTTCAAGATGAATTAATTCACAATATCACCAATATTAACATACACTTAAATTTCATCCTACAAAGAAACTAAATAAATACATCATTATTAATACATTACAAAACAATCAACGAAAGTGGGCCCAAATCAACGGTTCGTGTGAAGTGTTCGGGTTTGATGTGGTTGTGGGTGTGGTGCACCGGTGCCTGCCCTGGTAGTACCGTCTGTGTCCGTAGAGTCCTCTGCCCACGTGTGACCTTGCTGACAATCCTGCTGGTATGGTCGACTTGAGTTCGGCCCGCCGAGGATGTCTATCTCACTGTGCGGAGTTCCCAAAACCAGACGTTACGTCCCAAAAACCCTGGTTTAGAATTAAGTACAAGTTGTCACCATGCATCTCTCTTACACAAGATTATTACATGCAACATCCATAGCAGTTTAAGCTCATTTAACATAGCATTAAATGCAATGTACATTTTATAAACAAAACCCAAACAATGTGTTATTGCCAAGGCACATTTCCAATGTTTTACAACAGTTATACAAATACAAATTTTCACTTTTAAATTCAGATTGAAAATTGTAATGCACTAATACTTACAGGTTATGGCGAATAACCTGGTCTACATTTTATTGACTTTGACGAGGACACGAGGACGGCCGCAGCCTATACCAACTCTGTGGGACTCATTCCCAACGGCGCAAATAATTGCAAACTCAGTTCACTAGGAACCTACAACTCCCCAATGTGGGTACACATGAGCATAACATGCCCTGACGTAGTGTAGGTCCTGGTCTCGCCTCCAAGTGCCTAGCCAACGCCCCAATCTGGATTTTATAACCAAGACTGATGGTCCAAAAGTATTTCAAAACCTCAGAACATGTCAAGTTAATTTACTGACAGGCACGGACTGCTCAGTTAAATCCCACCATTGTTAAATACTTATAGGATTTACAGCTTATACATTGTAATGCCAAAGTGTTCAACTGGAGTCAAGTCATGATAAGATTACCCCAATTCCAACTTCGTGGACTTCTAATACATCAAAAAAATTAGGTTGGGTCTCTCCCTAATACAATCACACACAAAAGTTTCAGAGTATGTGAATTAGGTTGAGGTCTCTCCCGTAATACAATGACAAAAAGTTTCACAGTATACATGTATATATATCAATTAGGTTGGGGTCGCTTCCCCATAATACAATCACAAAAAGAAAAAGCTATACAGTATAAGTCTGGAAATTAAATATTCACATCAACTGTGACAATTACTCCCCACTGGAAGAAGATGGAATGATTTTAAATTTCATCCTTCTTATAATTCACAAATTTGATTTTTCGTACATTCAAGGTAGACAACGACTCAAAAAAATCTGCTCCAATATTGTCTTTACCCCTAATTACTCTCACTACGTATCGATATGGCTGTAAGCTCAAAGCCCAACGCATCACTCTGCTATTACTCAGCTTGGTTTTAGCTATGTATGCAAGTGGGTGATGATCTGTTTCAATTTCGAACTGTTTCCCATACAAATACACATGAAACTTCTTCACTGCCCATACCAAAGCCAGACATTCTTTTTCAATTACTGAATACGCTTGTTCTCTTTTTAGAAGTTTCTTACTTGCAAAACAAATAGGGAACTTTTCCCCTTCCACTTCTTGCATGAGTACAGCACCTAGACCTTTATCGGATGCATCAGTACGAACTACATATGTCTTATCTGTATCTGGCAGGTGTAAAATCGGCAGGTGTAAAATTGAACGCCAACTCTTGTGGTTCTCCCTATTCAACATTATTTGACTTCCCGTGCTTTGTCAAATCTGCCAGAGGTGCGGCAATGGCCAAGAAATTTGGTATGAATTTTTGGTAGTACCCTACCAAACCCCAAAATGACCTGACCTCCTTTTTTGTGCGGGGTCTCTGTGTGGCCAAAATTGCGTCAACCTTTCTCGGGACTGGTTTAATTAACCCTTTACTCACAACATGCCCCAAGAACTCAAGTGACTTATATACAACTTAACATTTGCTTGGTCTTGCAGTGAGACCCTCTCCACGGAGCCTCTCTAGAACTTTGCCAACTACCTCAATGTGTTGCCCGGATGTGTCTGTGAAAATTGATATGTCATCGATATAGATAACCACATGATCTATACCATCAAGTAATCTACGCATCATACGACTGAATACGGCTGGTGCATTAACTAACCCGAATGGTAATACGGTAAACTGAAATAATCCTCCTTCTGAAGTAACAAAGGTTGTTTTCTCTCTATCTTCTTTTGTGACGGGGATCTGTCAATAGCCCTTAGATAGGTCTAGTTTAGTGAAAAATTTTCCACCTGAAATTTGAACAAGCAAATCCTCAACATTCGGAATAGGTTCTGGATCGAAAACTGTTATTGCATTCAATTTTCTGTAATCGATACAGAATCTCACCTTGCCATCTGGTCTATGAACTAATACAATTGGTGACGCATAAGCCGATTCCGACTTTTCTATGACCCCCATTCTCAACATGGCATCAATTTCTTGCTTAACTGTGTCCCTAACTGCATGTGGTACTTGATAAGCTTTGGATTTTACTGGATCTGTGGTGGTCAGTTTTACCTTGAACTCGATTAATTCTGTTTTACCTGGTAAATCAGTCAAAACATCCCCAAATTCACTCAACAGCTCTTGAATTTTGGCAGATTCAGTTTCACTCTCTGTTTGACCAATGTGAACATCTTGAACAGTTTCAGTTTGTTCGACTGATGGTAGCTCACTATTTACCACGTCATCAACATCATCTTAAAACTCTACAATTCCTGCACCTAACAGTTGTAAACATGAACCTGCAGATACCCTGTCTTATGTATTTTCCCTTCTGACATACTTTCTCAACAAATTGGCATGATATATTTTTGTCTTGCCATTTTGGTCTATTCGATAGTCGTGTTTGCCTACTTTACTTGTCACTCCGAAAGGACCTTTCCACTGTAACAACAATTTATTTGAGTCTGTATGGGTAATAGTACAAGAACTTGGTCTCCCTCTACAAATTTCCTATATCTGGTTCTGGTATCATAGTATTTCTTATACCTCCCTGATGCTTTTGACAATTCTTCCTGTGCCATTTGACAGGTATTCAAGCCCATTTCTGAGATCAATGACATACTCGTATGTCGTTTTGATTTCTTCTTCACTGGTAGTGTTTGTCCATAATTCCCGCAAAATTTCCAAACGGCCTCTGACCGTACGCCCGTACAGTAGCTCAAATGGCGAGAAAACTAAGCTTTCCTGCGGCACTTCACGATAAGCAAACAATAACGCAGGCAGGTACCTGTCCCAATCTTTGGGGCGTTCTGCGCACATTCTGCGAAGCATTCTTTTCATTGTGCCGTTAAAGCGCTCGACGAGCCCATTGCACATAGGATGATATGGGGTAGTATGCAACTGATTGATTGAAAGCAAGCGCCCCACTTCCTGCATTACTTCAGAGGTGAACCGAGTCCCTAAGTCGGTAAGTATTTCCTGTGGAACTCCTACCCTAGTGAAAACGGTAAGAAGTGCCTAAGCTACCCTCTCTGATTCTATTCTAGGCAATGCTATAGCTTCGGGGTATCTGGTCGCATAATCTACAATTGTCAGAATGTAACGATTTCCCTGATCTGTAACTGGATGGATGGGGCCTACGATATCTACTGCTACCCTACGAAAAGGAGTATCTATGAGAGGCATTTTGTCTAAGGAAACCTTTCCTACTCTACCCTTCGGGACTGTACGCTGACATATGTCGCACGAAGCACAGTATCTCCTGACATCGCCGTGTAGGCCTCGTGCGCTAACGAATCGTGCGCTAACTTAAGTACCTTGTCTCTGAATATCTTAGGCACAACTAACTGTCTAAACAATCGACCCTTCTCTATCTTTGGCGACTTAAACTCTCTGTAATACAGGTTTCTGTTCTTCACAAATCTGGTCTCGTTTGCACTACCTGTAATACGTACAGAACCTGTCTCAGCAAGATTTCTTACTTTCTCTAAAGTTGCATCTGTTATCTGCTCCTTAGCAAATTCATCTGTACTAGCAACATTTTCCTTAGTAGGGACCTTAAGGCATGGAAACGGTTTTTCCTGTTTAGCCTTCTGACTACGAGTCTGTACTGCTCCTACTGTATCCTCTACTGTATCTTGACGAGCTAACTCATCCTTCATTACTGGCAACTACCACAATGGATCCGGATTGTCCTGTTCTCTTACTCCTGCTATGTTGCCTAGGACTAACCCATGCAACGGACTCTCCATACACAAAGCCTCAACAGTGCCCTTAAAATAAGGTGAATCTACTTCAATCCTAGCTACTGGATAGTTACGCACAGTACCATCCAATAGAACACAATGGCTCTGCGATCCTAACATTTGATCCTCATTAACCAAACTTTTCCTAATTACTGTTGTGCTACAACCTGCATCTCGTAACACATCTACTTCGTGAGAGCCTACAATTCCTTTCACTACCGGTGTAGCGTGAATTTACGTTTCTATGAAATTCGGACTCATTGGTAATACCGCGCATGCGTAAGTATGGTAATTAGGTAAGTGACCGGTCACGTAAGAGGGATTAACCAATTATAGGGAAAAGGGGTCCGATTTTCATAGGAGACGGATTTTCATGTGACACCGGCATTCCACTTCCTACAGTACATGCCGTACTAACCATTGGCAGCTCATGCCCGCACGCCAATTTAACAGTTTTCCATATCTTACCTAGCAAGGAAAACGGTGACTCTAGTTTCAAATATGCACCTAAGGGCTGAGATACTGGAGGACCTACCTCCTTTCCTACATCTCTACTTTCCTTGACTACCTCTAAACTTGCTACTTTATTCCTTGGCGACTGCTGTGTGTTTTCCCGAGGGTGTTTCCTACAATATTTAGCTATGTGTCCCCTCATGCCACAGTTGAAACACTTTGGTCTATCCTGGGAACGATTATCGATTGATTTGTCCTGACTAGCCTGCTTAGCTACATTACGCTCGCTTGTTTTATTCCTTGAACCATCTGATACCTTTCTTTCATGTTTAATTTTATCAGAGAGAGAATGGTGTGTGAGCAAGCATATACTGGTCTGCAAGTTTCGTGAGTTCTTTACTGCTTTGTGGCCTACGCTCTCTTAGAAATACTGCCAA